GGCGCAGGATGTGAAAGCCTTTGCGCGCACCATTGAGATGCCTCCATGCAAGGGAGCAGCAGGGGGCGTTGCCCAAATTAGGCGAGGTGGGGGAGAACGTGGTGCAAAGCATCGATGACAACACATTCGATGCCATCATGGACGTGGTCAACAACGAGCCCCACTACGAGGACATACAAGCACAGGACGTTTTGAGCTTTATCGTGAAGGGTCTCATTTTGCACGCAATGAGAGAGGGGTGGCTATCCTGCCGCCGCAAGCAAAAAGGGTCGCAAAACCCGCTGGAGTTCCCGAACTCCGGCGGGGTGCTCAACCACTTCCGCAACCGTGGAGGGGCGCACACACCTTCTGAGCAGGCGGTGCAGGCCTCTTCGTCGTCGGCGGCGCCGCCCCCACCACCCTGGCTGCCCACTCAGTCGGCAAGTGAGACTGACCAAATTCCCCCACCGGAGCCGGTGGCGGACCAGCCGCCGCAGGTCACGGTTCCTGCTGCCCAGCTTCGGCACAGCCTGGGCATGCCCCCCTGCCAACACTACGGGAACAACAAGCACCGTCAGCCGCAGCGGTCATGGTGCCACACATCCGCTCTTCACAGGAACCAGACCCCCTGAGCTCCCCCCCTCCTTGGGACACTCAGGCCGAGAAGGAGCGAGCCGCGCAGATCCCAACCGCTCCACTTGAGGGCCCTGAGACCGGAAGGGCACATGGTGCAACCTATAGCGCATCAGCAGGGGCCATTGGCCGGAGAAGAGCAGCCGACGACGATCCCGGCGGACCAGCTCAAGGTGGTCAAATACCGCGGCCCCATTGAGGTTACGGAGCTTCTTGGATATGAGGCCGGACCGTCCATCCAGTCAAGAGACGCTGAGATTCCCAGAAGGGAACGCATCGTCCAGGAGTGTCAATCTGATGCTTTCTTCGACTGGCTACATGCTTTGGCCACGATTTTGCTGTTTAACGAGTCGCTGATTCTAGGTGGACTCAAGTCCACTGAACTTACGGCATTGTGGAGCCGCCGAATTGCTACTCTTAGCAAAGTCCCTTGGATTTTTGGGCCTCACCCACAAAACTTCGTGGATGGAGGCAATGTCAGCCCGACTGATTAACGATGATCGGGGCCGCTTGACGGTTTCCCTTGCTACGCCGGATGGCGCGCAGAGCCTGGCCACGATCACCGTCTACTTCGGCATACTCGGTGGCCTCTTCCGAAACATGTGGGATCGAGATGAAATGGCGGCGCTTCTGGAGTCGGACGACAACTTCGAGATTGTTGCGTCCACGGCCAAATCCATCTATGACCGCACCTGCCGCTCCTGCGAACTGGAAAACCGCCTCATTATCCTCCAGCACAAGGACGGCAAGGTCCAGCGTGGCATGCGCGTTGATCATCGAGCTGGGGATACAGATGCGAAGAAGAACTACCTGAGTCAGCAGAAGCGGTTAGCGGAGAAGTCCGCAGCCCCGGCGGACAAGAGGCATCGAGTTGGCCAGGACTGGAGGGAGCCCAGGTGGCAGCAGTCCGGCTGGTGGCACAACTACCGCAACCAGGGCTCGAGCAGCGAAGACCGTCCAGATCAGTCTTCCTCTTCGTGGCAGTGGAAAAAGAGGTAGTTAGCCACAGCCGGGGCCATTGGCCATCAAACCAGGATTGTCCTTGATGGACATCCTAAGGGGCTATTTTGAGAAGGTGCTCGACACGCACGGCCCTCCGTGCGTTTTTTTACACTGACTCGACTCAACTTGAGACGAGCATGGAAAAGTTTTTGCACCGCGGTCTGCCCAAGCTCCCAAGCTCCATCAACGTACCTGCTCGATGACATGTGGAAAGCCGATGTTTCAGGTACTCGGTTCAGTGCCACCGCATACTACCTGACCGTGGTC